TATTCGTATGTACTGTAAGCTAACAGACATAAATCTGGAAGACCTTGATGCGTATATGTTATACACGAATAAAAGAAACTAATGGATCTGAATCTAAACTGCATATTCTTTATCGTTATATTAATTTTTCAATCAAATAAGTTGGGTATATTTGATTATGCCAATGAAGATATCAAGGTAAAATATGGTAATCATCGTTGTCATTATGTACACTATACAGTAGAGCTAGGTTTCTGCCGATTATAGTCACTTCCAAAGAGGTTATCGGAAGTATAATAATAACCGAATTAACAAGTGGTTGTACAGCATATGCGCAAATCGGCTTCGCCTACTTAGGTAAAATGTGGGCATGGACATTAACGCGTTACTTTTTTTTAATTTTCGTGATCTAAGCCTTTATTGCAAAATATGAAATTTCAAGTGCATAAATATAACATACTGCGCTATAATCAGTCGTAGTCGAATTGTATTTTTAATTAAAGTACAGCAGTATCGTCATGACACTATAATTAAAATTCCAGGTACATTAGTATCAGCACTACAATGATCCTAAATCAGGTATTATCTGTTATATTTAATACGGCCTTCAGTAATTTATATCAAATAGTATCGATATTATACTATACTATATAGACTAATTTCTCGAATACAAATTAATCAATCAATTTAATTAATTAAATTACTGATATATAAGAAACAAGTTAATTACGCAGTCTCAACTGAATGAAAGAAGCGCTTGAGTTATACCGAATATTATAATGAGGTGGATATCAAAACGACGGGTTACTAAATTTGATATGATAGAATAAATTAGCGATAAATCATCTATACTCGTAGTTGTACGGAAAAGATATTTTAAGTATTTGTAACTAACAGAATAAGTGTAATATGCGATTATCATTAGATGAGATCCACATTATTGTTTTTCGGAAAGTTCGGAATTATTTCTTGAACAATCCAACTTTATTGTAGCTAGTATAATCAAACAGTAGTTTATCATTATTCTATTTTCATGATAGTCTCATTTACTGTATCATGCATGCATAATTAGTTTTATATATTGATCTTTTTGAAAATAATTATTTACAATTGAGTTAGAACTTTAGTACATAAAGTGAATTAGATTTTTACTCAATCTATATTAGGTAGCATTTTATAATCTATGTAAAGCAATTTTAATGATTCTGACGAGAAACCCAATCTTTCAAAGCCCTTAAATTTTCCTATTTGATTTACACATGCTCAATTTATACTATGTTTTGTCATTATGTTCTGTATAGAACTTTTACAATTTATTTCACTATATTTCTTTCCGTATCACGGTATTTATAATGCTGTAATGAGAAAATTTGTTGTTTATCATTTCTGTAAGCTACGATACTTTGGACGATATGAAACAATTTAAATAGTTTCAATTAGTGATATGGGTACTTGATAATACTTTATATTTAAGAGTTAAAATTAGGCCACTACTGGATTCTAATGCCATTATTACATTATCACCCATCTACTTGTATTAATAAAACACTATAAGCCTCATCACGTTTCTACACAGATATATATGAGTATTTTTGTTAGATAAAATTATTGTTAACGCACTGTAGCCTATCTGTATTTTCTTATTAAATATAGGAGGTGACAATTGTAGAAGTTCCAGAGAATAGAAAATAGTTTTCTCAATATAAAGTTCATGCATTTTCAGATAGAATGGATTCGTTACCTTTGAACCTTCTTCAAGTATACACAAGCTCTATGTTTCTATATTTTAGATAACTTTCAATACGTTAATATAGCATTATTTTAGTTTACGATATGAAATTTGGAAATTAATGTTGTGATTTAATCTACATTAACGTAATCATTCGCTCAGTCGGTACCACTCATAAATGATAAACTTTATTCTGTTCATTTTACAAAGTATTGACGTGAATATATATGGGAACGATAAAATTCCTAACTTTTATTAGTGCTGCTGCTTCTTTAAGAAATAGATTCTGATATTTAATGTTAAAGATACCGGTAGCTCATAACAATGCCCTGTAATATCGCGAGAGCAAAGAATCCAATAGCCATTTGTAGTCAAGTCCAAAGTATAGCTTTAAATATTGATTGTAAGATTGTACGAGCATTGTAAGTCATGTGTTGATTAGTCAGATGGATTTTCTTGTAAGTGCTAAATCGTAGAATATAAGATTGTTTAAGTGAGTATTCATGTTAGTAGTTATAGTGCAGATTGTAGTAGTTGTTAAAGATGCTGTATTAAATGATCTTCACACCTTGGGATACGCTAGTAACGAAATGCTAGCCTAAATAAGATAGATATTGGCCCCTGTATCCTGATGATACTCTGTAACTAAATGTATATAATCAAGATATTTCATCTTCGAAGTTTATTTAGTCGTAGCTAATCCGGTCCTTGGTAGAACACGTAATTTGTGTAATAAAGTGATTTATTCTCAAGATATGGAAATCTTTGCTTAAAGTTGGACACCTTATCACACATTGCTACAGTGATTATCAAACTGCTTTCATTGTTCTACAGCATTCCACGAAAAGTAAATACGGTTAAATTGTGATCGGTCAAAAGTTACTAATGGCAGTAAAAGTATTGATAAAGCATTCTATCATTATTTTCTTACGTTATATTTATAACGTGCTGTAGCGTTTTGAATCTGAATTAAGAAAGCAAAAATTACTTAAATCCTCATTGTTTAGAAGGTACAGTACATGCATTACAGCGCATTAAAAATATCGACCGACATTATCCCTATACATTTTCTAAAACTACCACATGATTTAATTGTAAACTATCGAAAATTCTTTGAGCATCAAGCACTCTGATATTCTGAAGTCCTGTTAAATATGATAAATCAAATCCGGCAACTATTTACTGTGAGATTTTTTTCGTTATTATCACAATTATTTTCTATTGTTTCTTAAATAATTATAATGATAACGACAATGTATTCAGCTTTTCATTGATAATCCGGTCAGCAATGCTGATTTCATACAATTACAAAAGTAACAGATATATTTACATGATATCAAGCCACAATAAAATTTATTGAAACCAAAGATATTTCTACAACCGTTTAAGCATAAAGTGAGATTAATTACGTTAAGTATTAAACCACATTTATACCCAAAACGAACAATATTAATGTATTTATATCGCTGAGTAGTTATTTTTTTACAATAATGACCTCATCCGATTACATGATAACGGCGATGATTGATATAAATTGCCTAATACTGTAGGAATTGCATAAAAAGTGACTATGATTACAAACCAACAACCTGTCTAAAATTGATAGATGATATAATGTAGGATACCAAGTTAAGTAATATTATTTCTTCTAGAAAATTCGCTCAAGAAGAATAAAATGCAATAAATGCCAATACATATAACAGAGTATAAGATCCAAGCATCAAAAGAAACAACTACCTACAAGTACATTGCTTCTAAACTTTACAAAGGTTATATACCAAAAGTTACTGTGAAAATTAAATTGTCATGCGCAAGATAACTGAAAAGAGAGAGAAGTAAAGGTATCCATCTTCTCTCGACTCTCTTACTGTATACAACTGTATGCATATACGTATATAGAGAGATGCTGCATATTCATATATACATATAAGTACATATAAATAGATACTTTACAGCATAGCTATCGTACATATTGTACAGAGTTGGTACATAATGAAAGTGTAAACAATATTGCTAGCACTTTATAGTAACGACAAGCAAACGAGAAAATGCCTATTCTTAATGTATATAAACAAATTAATCTTTATCGAAACAAGGCAACGTGATATATTATACAAAAGAATAAACTAATAATGTTCGAATTACAAATGCATGTAACTTTTTCAATGTCATAACCAGTCTAGATGATAGATATAACAAGGTACACACAGAAACACACACACACACACATATATGTAAAACAAGGTACGCGTACCAACACACATATGCAGTACATATGTACACACTGCACATTCATATTGCACACGAATGCATGCGTATGCATTTAGGCATACGATCGATGTTGAATTCTAGACCATATTCAGAGCGATATTTATTATATTTAGCATATGTTCTAGCATAAACAGCTGTATAGTTCACATAATAGTTTTCTTGACTCTGTATAATGTACCTTGAAAAATTTTGAGGGTGTTTTTAACCAGACTTACTATCAGCGGCTGACCTTATTTCCAACAATAGCAAACAATTATCCTATTAAATTATTATTTATCATTTGAAATAAACGCTAAGCAAATTCTTGAATTTTTATCATTTGCGTTAGTAGACGGCAATTGATTTTAATTGGAAACAGCTAGTCTACCACATCTAGAAGAGAAGAAATTGCAGAAAATTCTGTTCAATAATATTGCCGTGCAAATAAAATCTATAAGAATACTTCCTCTGACTAACTCTACTAACAGTATTCCAAATAAAATTGATTAAATAGTATTAATCTTGACGATTTCCTTATTACATTAATAGCTGATTGATAACATATTTATTTGCAAGTACCATGTAAGCTAGTACCCGGATGCAGTATTAGCCATTGAATAGAGTAAAATCTGAATTTGTTTTCAACTAGTACAGTCTGCCTTAGTATAGACTATTTTTCAACTATTTTTCAATTATTTTGCTGATATACTTATAGTCATCATCAATTTGAGATTAGAGGAATATTCTTAGGAATACTGATAAGAGCAGTTGGTATCAGAATTATTCACATAATTCATAATTTTTTAATAGCATCAATGCCAATGAATCACCAGTAAAGATCAATGATTGTCTCACATTGGCTTTAACAGTGAGGTAAATTTCTTATCAAATAGGTAACAAGTGCATATCTACTGAACTGCGGTGTATTCTTATATCCAAAACGGCCATGATTGGACTTTATAAGTTAAGACTATTACTTTTTCTTAAAGATTCAAAAAAATAGATTTGGTTGTTGGCTAAAGTTAAGGAACACTTACCCCTGTAAATGGCGTTTCATATGAAGAGCTAAATGGTCCGATCTTGAAAAGCAACGATCACAATGGGAGCATTTAAATGGCTTGGCTCCAGTCTAAGTAAATAAGAGCATGATGTTTAGGAATACAATAACAAAAATCATCGCAACCCTCAATGTTAAAAATATTACAAACAAGACAATTAATTTGTGTCTTTATGATATTTCAATTCATTTAAAGATAAATGCTGTAAGCTAATAAAATATACTGTCATGTCAAGTACCTGAATTTAATATCGTTATGGTATAGTTACTGTCTTTATAATTTTGTTTAATAATTAGATAACCGAATTTTCGGTTTCAGCTAGATTAGAAACGAATGTAATAACAGCACGATATTACTTTCGTAAAAATTTTGCTCCGTATCCTATACGTAATTACCTTTCGATTGACATAAATCATATACATATCCAATTTCTACTAAGTAATTACATCGCTGTTTACTTTGTTTATCGTAGCATATGTCGTAAAATTATTGCACATATTCTGTGATATCATATCATTGACGGAAATGTCTATAAGAAATATTGTCGTAAAGATGTTGAAGTTTTTATTTATGTTTGATGTAACATAATCTCATATTGCATTACGGAATACAATGTTGTCTCTTAGTCAAGTATAAACCAAAATTCATCACTATAATAAAATCTACAGTGATTTGGTTCACCATTTCTGATATCGTTGATCATGCAGTCATGCGTATACAAAATTTCATTTATTATGGGTGAATGATAACGTCAACTATGAAAATAACCGTGATTTATTATATAATTATCGATTCCAAAGTGTGTTCACGATGATCAATCCAGCATTTCACGTACAGGTTACGCAAATAGATGACATGCAATTGCTTACATGATCAATTTAAGTTGTTATGGGATTGTAAAAAGACTATAGTCCTATTTTATTATGTTATTCGAATTTATAGGAGTTAAAATAAATTATTTTCGGAACGTTATACTCGTATTCGTTAGTATTATTAACTAAGAAATCAAAAAGTTAATGTACATAAATTGTTAACTCACTGATTTACGGTATCAAATAATTTCTGTTTGGATTAAATTGGGCATTTTCAATTATTTCTTACTTTGATCATCGTTTACTTAACGACATAGACAATTTTTCATGCGACGTCTTACCAATCCCGTACTACCGACCCTAGATTCTCAACTCACGCACATACGTTGCAAAACGACCCGACCAATCTTATAGCTTAAATTGTAATTTTGTTACAATTTGATTCTTTGATGTCGATTATACTATAGTATTATCTATATTACATTCCGAAGAACATGAGTACGTTCAAAAGTAACATGATCTATAATATACCTATCTATGTCGGATTAGTAATTACTGTACATTCTTGAAAATCTCTACTAATTTTTTTATTCTATGTTGTCAAAATTTTCACATCAGCTACTGTCGGTCTGATAAGAAGCCGTCTTAACATTCTTTGAATATCCATCTTTTTAGCACGTTTCATTATCAAATTTATAAACTGCCGTATTAAATTGTCTTTGACATAGTAAACTACGGGTAAAATTTAATTTCATGACTGACAGCTGATATATTACTAATATTTTATGTTACTGAAAATATTCTTATCAATCTACTTTATAATTTAATATAGAATATTTTCCTAACTAAATGTCTTAAAAGATTTTAATGACCAAGTTAAATAACATTTTATTATATATTCTGATCTGCGCTAAGCGATAATCAAATTGCTATAGAGACTTACATGCTTGCGGTAATGGCGTGTTAATTCATCAGATCTGGCAAATCTCCAGGGACATTCTTCCCATGGACATTTGTAAGGCTTTTCTCCCGTGTGCGTACGCTGGTGCGCTTTTAAATGTGAGCTTTTAGTATAAACTTTACGACAACCAGAAAAATGGCAACGATGTACTCGTCTTTTAGCTTTGATGTTACCATTAACGAGATTTTTAGCATTTTTGCTCTTATTTACTTTAGTATTATTAATATTTCGATTCGTACATGATTTCGGAGTTTTAGAAGGGCGAGATGGGGTTGTACTAGTTAAAGTATTAGTACTGACAACATTTTTTCGTGTATTGGATACATTAACGGAATTAATGTTATTAGTTTTAGAACCTGAACTACGACTTGATTTTTGCTGCTGATTAGTAGATGGTTGTTTACTAATAGCTTTAGCTTTGATCTCTGGTGATGATGGAGGTGTAGGTGGTAAAGATGATTTGCGTTTGTTATTCAATGTTTTTTGTTGCTGCGTTTTACCTTTTTCCAATAACGCTGGTAAAATATATTCTGTTGCTTTTGTGTTAACTTGTTTAACTTGTTGCTGCATCTGGCTAAGATCAAATCGAAACGGATTGCCATCTTGACAGCTATTAGCTGAAGGTGGTGGACTTAACTCAGCGGTTATTAATTTCACATCTTTATCAATCAAGTAATGATTAGTAGCAGCTGTTATTGCTGTTGTAACTGCTGTTGATGCTAGTGTAGTTGTTGCAGTTGAAAATTGGTCTCTTGTAACTAATGGATACTCCATGCAACCTTCCCAGTTTGCACTGTTGTAACCACAGTTGTCGGTATAATAAGGTTCAGAATTGATATAGCGTTCAACCTCTAACTTAATCTATGAAACAAAAGAATCCCATACTAAAAATCGATTTCTTACTAATATCAAATCATGATCAATTTACAATTTCTTTTACGAGTAAAGTTATACATTACTAAAAATACCTAAAACGACGCATTAAAAGTCTTAACATTTAGCCTTAATGCTAATTTAAACATTTCTATTTAATTTAATCAAAATTTTTTTCATCAATCAAAGATCATACCGTAAATAACTATCTCCATATTAAATCTATTATAATTACTAATGGTTTATCCTAATCGTGCCTATTGTCGTATATTTTTATTAAAGTAATTTCATTTAGTATACAGATTAAAAGTAGTAATCGCTAAGATAACCTGTCTTGCAATTCACAGCAAGTATGGATATCGTACTTGTCTACCAATCTTTTTAATAACATGTCGTTCGACAATGTATTTGAAGATTTTAATTAATCGTATTATAATTAATACAGAAAAAACATTTACTGAACAGAACAGGGTAAAACAAGAAGTGTAAAAAACAATGTGTTGGTAAACGTTATCGATATTGAAATGGTTCATTTGCAACATAGATATTATCAGAAATCAATCGTTTACTGAATGGAATTGAGTAAAACAGGAAGGGCAAAAACAATGAGTTAGCAAGGGTTAATCATTCTGAAATAGTGGAAATGCAACTTAGATATTATCAGGCATTATCATAATCTCATTTTCGGGTTATTTGACATTAACATATTAATTTTTCTAATACAGTATCACTTCTTTTTCTCCCAGCGATGTATACTGTCAGAATTGATTAAATTGAAAAGTTCCTCAAAGTATAAAAGTGACTGCTAGTATGAAGATATTGTCACATTCTCATTTAACTAGCGCGATCTACTGTGCATCTATAAAATCTAAGCGAAATAGCAATCGGCATTAGTCGCTACAGAGAAATTTCCATGTCAAGGTTATGGAACTTCAATAGAATCCCTTTCTTGATGCAATCAATGTATAAACTATTCTCGAATGACTACCATATTTAGAGTAGATAATGGAATATATTTAATTATTACAATGCTGAAGTAGGCAATTCGTACAATAGATCTACAGGTTGATTCAAAAGGACGTACAGCCCAATTGGATATCATATTCAATAGCTATTATCGATTAATAAGGTAAAGTAATCACGGCATATATACGTCCAAAGATGATGATGATGATATCTGTATAGCTAAATATTAAAATGATGCTTGATTAAATAGATGGAAACATTTCAATTTTCTGACAAGAATATCAACTTCTTATTACAAGAGAATAGGTCTGATGAGTCTGTCATTGGGAGCACGAATGCCATAGTCGCAGTTTTTCTTCAATTTTTAAAATTAATAATAAACAAGTGCTTGTCCCTTTAAACTATCATAATTTTATAGATACCGTAAAATTGCTTAAAACTTGTACTGTAATGATTTTATGCATAATAAACAGGATTGACCGTAACATATATACGTTCGTATTCTGTCTTCAATATTAGTGTATAAAGAAAATTTCGTTGGATACTACACTTAAAGTTTTATTATTGCAATATATTCGGCAGGAATAATTATACTGTCACACTAAATAACAACACGACTTGTGCTAAAGATTATGTATTATGATGTTAATGAAATATGTTTATCAAGTAATCGTATCAAAAGTCACAGTAATAAAATCAGTTGACGAAGAAAATCGATTAGTGACTAAGGGCAAAAATGAAAATTATACTAACTTGTTGCCAATCTTCTTCCAAGGTTGGTAGTGTATAGAAGAAACCATTATCGTTATGCAATTGCTCATGAAAATACTCGCTAGCACAACTAGAGCCAAGACTACTATTAGCATAATCCAACGTAGCCATCACAGAAGCAGATTCCAAATTACTCGACATCGGATAACGTGTACCAAACAAATTTCGTCAAAAGAAATAATACTAAAATATAAGTATATGAAAAATGGATTATAGATTAATACCGGCTAAAGTTTAATTACTGTACGCAACTATTTGTAACCAGTAAAATATTATTTTAAAAAATTTTTTTAATTGCCATTCTAAGTATTATTGTTTTGAAACTGCCTATAATTTTAATATGGACAACCTGAAAATCAAGATTATAAATACTCCTCTTACTTTAATTCAAATAATTTGCTTACCTTAAATGAATTTAATGATGGCTAAATGAATTAAGTATCAACTCAATGCGGATAATCGAGTATTTCAAGGCCTTTTTTATCGTAAACTTCTACGGATTGCAAACGATAATAAAACTACCGATAAGACCGAGGAGATCGGAGATGATCTGGCAACAGACTACACCAAGCGTTGATCAAACTATTTACTTATCAAAAATTACCATATAGCAAATGAAGGCAACTCAATGAAGAACTTAGGATTGCATGTTGTTCGAAAATAGATGGTATCATATATATTGGATACTGGTACTGTTTATGTAGAAAATGTAGCTAAAAAGATAATATTAAATTAGATCGATGGTTTATGTATGCAGTTGGTGTTGAATTAGATTATTATTGGTTAAAAACTGGCAATTTAAGTCGACTGCGCAATGGGAAATGAAGGTGGGTGGTCAATGTTAAGAATAGAGTAGGAGGGTATCTTGAAAATCAAACATTAACCTCTATAAAGGAAAGATGCCTGAAATCTGACTTTTATTTAAACGACACGGAATAAATTAATACCCCCTCTACTTGATTGTTTTTGCTCAACCCACTCTTCACACACATCTAATCTCTCATTGGTTTTAGTAATTATATATAAAAGATATGTCAATGGTATAAAATGTCAATCATTATTTTTTATTTAACTATTTGGTCTACGCTATTTAAGTTTGGACATTCCTCAATCGTTGCCCAATATATCGTCAAAAGTTTCATCGGTGCTATTTATTCCTGAGAAAGATAGAGACATGTATTCCTTATTAGAGAATAAATTCGATTAGATATTATATCCTATAAAATTATCAAGACGGGAAAATTTCTCGTTGACCATTGTCATAATGGTCTATACGGTAAGAAATTAAAGAATAAAAAAAGTGAATATTAAATTAAAATAATATGATGATAACAATAACTAACTGAGGATACAGAAAATCATCTACCGATAGATCAGCAGAAAGAAAGAGGAGGAGACTAGGCCACATGAGTCAATCTATACCTGATGCAGTATTGATTGATTTTACCAATAAAGGTAATAAATCAATTAAATGTCTTGGTCCAATGACGTGAGGAGGAATCAACTTTTGATCCATTGATTGTTCTTCCAATTATTATTGACAGGATGATCACTCTTGGGCATCTGCCTGGTTACCCATTAGATTGATTTAGGACCCAACTGTGATATGATTGACATAAAATCTGCATATTTAAATTCTGACTAATATTCAATTCAATAAAATTGTCGATAGAAGAAAGTTTGTAACCAAAATTTCTTATTGGTTAGACAGTTTACTCTATTTTATTGACATACTTCTTTGTGTCAACTATTTCTACTATCGCATTATTTTTTTTACCTTAAGATATATTGGTCTTTACTTTATCGAGTGAAGCTATGTTAATTTATGAGCTGTTTTATCAGAATTCCGTTTCCTTGATCACAATATTAATCGATTATCGAATCTACTAATAAATTGATTTCATCACTTAAGTTCTAAAGAATTCGTAATTTATCTATAGCCTAGCTATTAGTTAAAATGTAAGAAATTCCTTTTTTGAAACAGTCAACAGATTTATTAGTCATATTTCAATAACTTATCATGGGTAAAAATGAATTGGTGCAGTATGAGATTTAGTATTTATTCTTACTTGTAAGTACTTCCTGCATGGTAATGGCTAATAAACTAAAATATGAAGTGATTGCAATCCAATTTTGTTAAATAATTAGCAATATTTCATAGTAAACAAATCTTTGTAAGTTATAAAGTAATGTTAAAATTAACTACAAATCTCACTACTAAATGAAGAATGAGGTAATGTATCTTATATTACTTATTTTTAGTAAGATCAAAAATTAACTTCCTGTTGCTGCATATAATAAAAAGATGATGCAGCTCTACTTTCAGGTCAGAATTAATCGGAACGACTATCGGCACTAAGATGAACTCAGTCAAATAACTGGTCTAGATAACAAGCAAGAAAATTGAATTACTAAACCATACTACGTTATATTATAATGTAATTAATTTTCTTTCTTCTATATTATCCCTTGGAACTAATTATAAGGGTAAATAGCTTTGATAAGCTGCTATATAAAACGATAAAATCGGA